TGTATAGAATTGTACTCGTGGCATTCACACACGTGGATGTCAATTCTGCCATGGTGGCCAGCACACGGCCCCTGTGACGGTGGCCCCTTCCAATCGATATCTCAGTGCAAAAGCTGAAAAGAATGGGGCAAGTTTCTTAAATCTCCCTCACCTCTGTCCATCCTGGAGTATAATGTGCACACAACAATTAGTAAATCAGAAGCTCGTTTGTGGTGGGGTAAAGTGTGGGTACTCCGACCTCTTCCAAGATATCTGTCCAGCGTGGAAGAGGAGGCCAACTCCCTCCTAGAGGTCCTGTCTAGAGCCCTCTCTACTGCAGATCCTTCCGCCAGCATTGGCTCGAGCAAGCCACTTCACGACTGCACCTTTCACTTTTTCCATATGGATGCAACCTTTTACAGTTAACCACGGAACACGCATTTGCAACCCATTTATAAAAAGCCTCCGTGGTTAAAAATTGCACCATTTACCGTCCCTACGCTCTCGAAGTTGATGATTACCATGTATTGAGGCCAATTTTGTGAGAATGGAGGATTCTTCGCCCTTAGAATCTCAAGACCGTTGCATGCAGTTGGCATCTCAGAGGCTTTCACGCCTCCCGAATCTCTGTCTTTAATGTGAGTGTGCTCACCGACCCGTGGCAATGCATTAGCGAAAGTAGCTTTGTGATGCAACCTTCTTGAGAAGGAGTTGCCACTACTAAACATTGCAGATGACAGAACCTGTTTAACTTAAATAGTTTTCAGTTTTTGCAGCGAGTGATGTAAAGTTATCATATAGACCATTTGTTAATGCGAGCGAACATATTAAAAAATAATGTCATTCGCTGGCAATCATTTTTCCGTCAATAAGTGTTTTAAGATGGATGTGCAGTAATAGAATGTATATTTTTTAAGATGGATGTGTAGCGATAGAATGTATAAGTTTTAAGATGGATGTGCAGTAATAGAATTTCCAGCGACCTTTGTGACGTACAGAAAGATGAACTGACCGTGTAGGTCCCTGCGGTTGTGCTGTTTGGCTTTCCGATGTCATTCAAAATCGAAGACATATCATTGAACTACAACATAAGAAATCCATACTTTTACGATTTAACGCTTCCCATCGTCTTGGGAAAGTTCAAGACATTTATAACACGTATTAGCTGACCAATAAGTCTATTCTCACAATTACAGTTCCTTCGACGAGCGGTTGGTCACTTCCGTCAGACATCATTGGAGCTTCATTTACACGAATGCATAAGTGGAATTAACAAATTATCCTCATCAAAATCCACAATGAAAGTATTTGAAATAACCAGAGGGGACGGGGGTGGTGTCCTTGCTAGCACACTGAACTTGCAATCCAGAGTTGGTTGGCTTGATCTCCCGGCACGGCACGTGATAAAAAATGGTTCAGGTTTATCAAATGGACCTCCGCCTCTGTCCAATCATCAATGTGTTCTCCAAAGTTGTTTGGTCGGCAGGTCGCCTATCATGGGGTAACGTGTGGGTACTCCCACCTTTTCCACGTACCTTGTCCAGCACGGCACACCCCCTCTAGAGATCCTGGCCCTAGAGCTCTCACGAGTGGGGGGGGGGGGGGGGGTCCTTCCACAAGCAGGAGCGCGAGCAAGCAAAATCGCAGGGCTGCACTTTTGCCTTTTAAAAACAAAACGGCAACAACGCTTCAGCGGATTTCCACGGAAGCCAGGTGAGAGCTCAGCGCGGTGCCCTGGCGGGCCACGTCCGTGGAGGTCTCTTTGAACCCCGGCGAGTCTGAAGGGGCATTGTTCGCAGGCACACACCTGTCGTCGCGTCTCCGGTTTCAGGCGCGCACTGTGAGTGCGTCAGGGGATCTGGGGTCAGGGCAGATGGGCCCTTATTTAACGAGGCTCTGAGGAAAGTGAGAGCACTCAAACGGGCGTCTGTCTTTGATTTGCTTTGTGTCCTCGCCTCGCCACGTTATAATCCGCACCTTTTGTGGCTCGCGGCTCCATATGTCTTGATGGTGGTGGTAGTTTAATTATATTTTTTCTTTATAATTTATTGAGAATTTTTGGTCTCTCCTGCAAGGACACGTGAGATCCCTTTGGCCCAGGGACAGTCGTAAACACTGCAGAAGCTCAATAGAATTGTAGTCTGTAAAAACAGCGTATTGGATTTCAACAGGCTTCAAACGGCATTCAGTAACGTTACATTTTTTTGATTGTTTCCTAAATGTTAATATTGTACCGCGTAACAAGCTTACGAAATGCAAGTCGGTTTTATTTGCATTTCATACATGTGCATGTGGAACATTTCAGTTGGAAAACAAACGCAAATTCGCGAACAAAGCTGCATATGCAGATATAGTCCACCTGATATTATATTTCAGTGTCTTAGCGTCCTCATCAAAACGCGTTAACAACGCGACCGTCTTCCCTGAAATCGCTTATTTATTATCTCCATTTATAAACTCGCGAAGTAGTTGGCCACGTGAAATGGCGATTTAATAAAGTAAGCAGGTTCTCGTCAACAATGACGGATATATAACGGGACGTAACGTGTGCAGCACTTAGTAAATACTGTACGTGCATTTCAATGGAGTTGCGAGCATTGAGGTTGCTTCATTCATCTCAGTGGAGTGGCTCAGAAATTAAAAGCAATTATTCAATCAATAAATATAACCTGTAGACAATAGAAAACCACTGTGGATATAATGGCCAATGTCAACCCTATTAATCATCCACTCCCGCCTGTGCCACCTATCGTTAGATTTAAAATGCAACAAATATATTGGCGAAATGAAATTACAAGTCTGACAGAATTCATATTTGTCAAAACGAGAAATACATTTCGACTCAAAATGCTACAGCATGTTGGTTTGTAATTATTTGTATTATTAAACTATGAATACAGCGTTTAATAATAGACATGGCACACATGATAATATTGTGTGCTGTAGTATGCATAGAGTACACTCCACCTTGTTTTGTCGCTTTGCCATGATCAAATGTAGATTAAATTATTAACGGCATTGTCTCGATTTGTTAGATTTAGAAATTATTAAAAACGCTGTTATAAAAATTATATTATTGCTTTATTTTTTTTACCCCGGGGTGTCCTTGCAAAAGAGGAAAAGTATTATCGCATGCCTCAGAGGGCCTCGTGTTCCATGGTTAAATAAAGAATACCAATGCTGCTACTGAGTGCAGGGTTAATTTACAGCCATGTAAACATCTTAGGCGAGATTGCCCTCCTTTTATTTGATTTCAGACCATAATTCGTTCTGGACAACAAACTCTATACGATACCAAATCGCTGTTATGCATTGTGTAATGTGCGTATTGTGCCACATTTACACATTGTAGGTAATTACGGCACACAATCAAAACCACATTTTCTCTTTAAAGCTCCTGTGTATAGACCTGATGGGAATATCCCGTTCCCTGCGTCTCTTTTTACACTGTAAACTAAAAATATCACGACAATATTAATGCAAAGGCTCAGGGTAATTAAAAGTATATTACATACAAAAGCTATACATTTTTAAACCTTTGAAAAGTTAAGAGAGCTGTTATTGTTGGTTGCTATTTGTCACAAGGCTTGGCCATCTCTTAAGAATGCCCTCGAATATAAAAAATAATAATAATATAAGCAAAGCTACATTCTGTCTAACCACATATAGATAAAAATACGTGTGTCCATCAGCCCACTGGCTTTATAGACAACATCAAGCAGCATTCGCTTAAGCAAGGGAACTCTGGACTCGTTTTGACCTTCTGGGTTTGAGCAGCAGAGTCAAGGTTGTTAATCAAATGCTGTTGGATTACCCAATGTTATTGGCAAGTGCACTCCATGTCACAGATGGAACCCAATTCAATGAGTTTGTGTCCTGTTGTCATCGTCTGCTTGTTGAACACATTCGTCAGTAACACTGCCCTAAAAGTAAATAAAATATATGAATAGATGCCGTTGTGGGAAATGGCCCTTCTTCATAGCGGGGGATACAAAAAAATCCCTCCCATTTCCCCTGCCTCTGTAAATATACCTTGGTCTTTGTCCATGCATAACCCAAAACCACCTAAACTCTTCACTAATATCATAAAGGTACCCATTGTCATTGTCTCAGATTTGTGCTGCTAACGCTGTAAGCCCTAAAGCCCGCGCGGAGAGGCGTTGACCCATTTGACGCTGGTTTGGCACACATGGGGTTTAGTGTGGAAAACAACGTGTGGGTCAGGGGAATCCAACGGCATAGAGGGGATCGGCAGCGGTGCACTGTTGCCGTTCGACTGTCGTTGTTTTGGTCGGCACACGGCTCGCCTGCCTTCGTTTCCGCGAGCTCCTCGATGGTGTCCACGCAAAACAGTGCGGACCTCATTGGAACATCATCCACAGGCCGATCGGCACTTCTCCTTCATGAATTGAAAATGTAAGACAAGCCACGTTAGTGCGATTGTGGCCATGCAACCCAAACTATGGACCGTATGGTAAACCACTGTCGGCTTTCGCGACCAATATCATCCATAATAGAGGTTTTTTTGGGGTTAGATCGCGTAAATATACAAATGTGTCGTTAAAACCCACCACCACACAGCCAACTAGTAAGGGTTGTCACTAGTACAGCACTAACCGGTGTGTTGGAGAGCCAAGCCACAACATTTACAATCTGAGTACGACGTTTCGCCAGTAATTACAACTAGCTTAATAAGTCGCCTGATCAGTCGATTCGATGAATGTCCACGATTTAGAATTTCGACATCGTTGCGGGATACCATGCGGCAACAACCGAAACACAACCTAGAGCTAATAATTCAGTGTTGGGTCGGCGGTTCCACATTTAGAGTTGCTGAGACACATCAGATTCCATCACAAGTTGAATTCAATTTCAGTCTGATCCAATGCCCAATTTCTTGGGTCCAATCAGACAGCAACAACATCTGCTCACGATCAATGGATTGGGATTTGAAGTGGAAATCACAGAGCTACATCTGAGATCTCTTAAAATGACCTCTGTTCTACACAGTAGAGGGCAGCATGTTCCCACCTGCCCTGCTACAGAGTAACGTTAACCCTTTCCCATTCCGAGACATCCGCAAGTTGCACGGTGGGTCTCCCTTTCACCGCTGAAGCTCGGAACGCACAAGCGGCTCAGCGTTCATTTTATTCAGAGACGCGTAGCGCCGCTGTTTTTAAATATTGTACTCACCGCAGAGAATCCTAGCGACACGACCACACTCTATGATAGCTGGCGCCAAACTGTGCCACCCGAACTCCCGCATGGCCTTGTGGGAGCCTCGGTACCGATATAGTTACTTTATTTTCCTTCCGGTTTCACTTTTATGACGTGCACTTACATCATCGGAACAGAATCGGAAGAAAAACTGATGACGGACATGCACGTCATCGGTTGCATGACAGTCAACCCGATATTTGTTATGCTTATAGCTGGAATTTAGCCAAATTTACTGTAAAATAAAACTTAATGTTACGGATTGTTTTTGTGCAGTCAATGGTGCCATGTCAGTGCTCTGACCTCACCTGCTTGGTGGTGGTGCTGCTGGCAGATTATTTGACTCAGAATTGGAAGCTCAGGTGTTCAAATCCTGGTTGTTTTACAATGAGAGAGACTGACCGCCAACACAATGCAATGGGGAATAGCCACCTTTTGGGTGAAAAGCTACAGAAATAAGGCATTCGCCAATGCTCGTTCAATAACTAGGATGACTTGAAATAATTTCATATTCTTCTGATATGTATGGGAGATTGACTTTATTTGCGCTATTAAGGCATTCGGTTATGCACACAATATGCAAGAATACCTTAATAATTTTGATGCAGGCAAAAAGGTAAAATTTTTATACTTTGATACTTGGATTTCCTTTGCACTTTTGGCATTCTTTGGTCTAACACTGGTGGTGAGACTAGGCAACAAAGAGGGCTGTCTCTGGTGTAGGCCAATCAGCTTCAAAGACAATGCATATATCATGATTGTTTGCATGTTTTGCCGCGTGTGGTTGATGCAGACTTGATGCCTTGCAATAGGTGTGTTGTGTTTTGTTGTTTGAACATTTTAACACCTCCTGTGTTATTGCCGGGATGGGTAAAGCCTATTATTATTTTTTTCAAGAATACCTCGTTGGATTGGGGTGGCATTCGCAAACGAAAGTCCCTTCACGTGAGTGAACACAAAAAGAATGGCTCAACAATGAAGGACAGCCGCTAAGGAAGGCTCTACTATGTGCTTAACAAATGATTTCGTGTATTCGCTCATCCGAAGGTGTGCGACAGATACGAACAAGTCCAGCAGCAGGTCCTGTACCAGTACCCGACGCATTGCTCCCTTACCGCCTCCGCTAAAGACACACGCGATGAATGAGCTGAGGCACGTTGGGGCACTTCTGGAACATCAAAACCATTCGTTGCCTTGCAATACATTGTTATAATGAGGATACTAATAATAATTCAGGTTGTACCTCGTGTTGTTCGGCATGATGTCCGACGCAGAGAGATGCACAGCACAACCGCAAACGTTGTTTTACGTCTGTATGTTGAACTTCTTTCGCACAATTATATAGCCAACCCCGCTACTAATAATAATACCGCTTTTAGAATAAGCAGAATAAGAAGAAACGGAAGAGCAAGAAAATATTTTGCGTTGCATTTATTTCCCCTTCGGCCTCAACCCTATTTTTATTTGAACAAAAACATTGATTTGTTCTAATTCATCTCAGCCAGAGCCTCATCTCCAATTTAAAACTAAGCTGCTGAGCTTTTATTTACATTTTTTGGCAAGGAAGTCTAGAATAGACCTTTGAAACAATAAAGTGTCCCTTTAATCCCATGATCAATTCATTGATTTGACTCTTCACTAATATTCTGACCTTCTGCCTCCTTATTGGACAGTCGATTCACAGCACAAATATCGATCCCAGCAAAGATTTCCTTGGTTTAAAGGGGCAATGTAACATTTTGATCCATAACTATCCAGTAGGGAAGAAGTGTGGTTTAGAGACAGGGATTAACAGGGGTGAGAGCTGGCGAGGGAAGGATGTACGTATGCTTATGTCCATGCATGTGCGTATGTACGTGCATAGAGGGCCCTTATTTCAACTCACGATTGAAGGTGTAATGTATAAAAGTTACTACGTTTCTTTAATTGAGCAAGGTTATGATAAGAAGTTGAGAGAAGAGACGATGGGAGGGAATGCCACGGCCGGGCAGTGTGAGTTTAGAAGCAGACAGAGAAGTGTTGTGTGGCCTGCAGTCCAGTGGCTGAACCACAGTGGATGTATGTAATGTATGTATGTTGAACTTCTTTCGCACTGTACACAGCAGTCGGTCTGGTAGAATGGGTGCCCAGCGTGGTCACGTAAACGGTAAGCGAGTTAGGAGTGATACGAGGATGATGATGATACAGCAGCAACTGCTGCTGCTGCTGTATCATCATCATCATCTCAGCAACCCGCCGACTGCCTTGCGTTGAATGCCACAGGGCGTGGGGAGGCGTGAACTGGCTCTTCCAGATACAACAACAGCGTCCGTCAAGCCTGTTATTTTTGTACATTAGTAACAATTGCTCTCGGCCAATTTACAGAATTCCACATTCGTATGTCAGGGGGCCAATATATATAAATTAACGTGTGCTTCTTCATCGACAACGCTTTGAAGAGATGCACACTACATTTATAATCGCGACTTGCAAATCAGGAAGTGATTACTAAAAAACAATATACACTGTCTACTTCAGAGATGCATCTATGTAAAGACTGATGCCAGGCTATAAATAGGCATAAATACAGAAGCGAAACGTCCCTTAACAGACGCCTGTCATATCGTTTTGCCATGGATTCGCATTGTTATGGTAACCTGAAATCCCCAGTTAAACAAAAGCCACCTCTCTCACTCACCCTTACAGCTTGACCAAGGTTCATTGAACCGGAGGCAGCAGTTGCTGTGATTGTCGTAATCAGCGCATCAGTGTCAGCCTGTCGGCACGAGTCTTCCCTTACAGCGAAGTTCGTTATTGTTTCAAGTTCGTTATTGTTTCAAGTTCGTTATTGTTTCAAGTTCGTTATTGTTTCAAGTTCGTTATTGTTTCAAGTTCGTTATTGTTTCAAGTTCGTTGTTGTTTCAAGTTCGTTATTGTTTCAAGTTGTTGTTTCAAGTTCGTTATTGTTTCAAGTTCGTTATTGTTTCAAGTTCGTTATTGTTTCAAGTTCGTTATTGTTTCAAGTTCGTTGTTGTTTCAAGTTCGTTATTGTTTCAAGTTCGTTATTGTTTCAAGTTCGTTATTGTTTCAAGTTGTTGTTTCAAGTTCGTTATTGTTTCAAGTTCGTTGTTGTTTCAAGTTCGTTATTGTTTCAAGTTCGTTATTGTTTCAAGTTCGTTGTTGTTTCAAGTTCGTTGTTGTTTCAAGTTCGTTATTGTTTCAAGTTGTTGTTTCAAGTTCGTTATTGTTTCAAGTTCGTGGTGTTTCAAGTTCGTTATTGTTTCAAGTTGTTGTTTCAAGTTTGTTATTGTTTCAAGTTCGTTGTTGTTTCAAGTTCGTTATTGTTTCAAGTTGTTGTTTCAAGTTCGTTATGGTTTCAAGTTCGTTATTGTTTCAAGTTCGTTATTGTTTCAAGTTCGTTGTTGTTTCAAGTTCGTTATTGTTTCAAGTTGTTGTTTCAAGTTCGTTATTGTTTCAAGTTCGTTGTTGTTTCAAGTTCGTTATTGTTTCAAGTTGTTGTTTCAAGTTCGTTATTGTTTCAAGTTTGTTATTGTTTCAAGTTCGTTGTTGTTTCAAGTTGTTGTTTCAAGTTCGTTATTGTTTCAAGTTTGTTATTGTTTCAAGTTCGTTGTTGTTTCAAGTTCGTTATTGTTTCAAGTTCGTTATGGTTTCAAGTTCGTTATTGTTTCAAGTTCGTTATTGTTTCAAGTTCGTTATTGTTTCAAGTTCGTTATTGTTTCAAGTTCGTTATGGTTTCAAGTTCGTTATTGTTTCAAGTTTGTTATTGTTTCAAGTTTGTTATTGTTTCAAGTTCGTTGTTGTTTCAAGTTCGTTATTGTTTCAAGTTCGTTATGGTTTCAAGTTCGTTATTGTTTCAAGTTCGTTGTTGTTTCAAGTTCGTTATTGTTTCAAGTTTGTTATTGTTTCAAGTTTGTTATTGTTTCAAGTTCGTTATTGTTTCAAGTTGTTGTTTCAAGTTCGTTATTGTTTCAAGTTCGTTATTGTTTCAAGTTCGTTATTGTTTCAAGTTTGTTATTGTTTCAAGTTCGTTATTGTTTCAAGTTCGTTATTGTTTCAAGTTCGTTATTGTTTCAAGTTCGTTATTGTTTCAACGGCATGGACATTTTTGTGCTCTTTGACCCATTCGAACAAGGTGATCAGTGTCCAACTAAACATTTGTTTGCAACTTGTGGTGAACTGCTTTTGAAATGTAGAATACTGTAGTTTTATCTTGTGTTCAGTTTTTTGGCCTTCCCCCGCACTACCGATTAGCACGGCTGGTGACGTACGGTGCGCAATAAGTTCAACATTTAGACGTACGAAACAGCTTCAAGATTTGTATTTCACACTTTGCTTGATAATATATCCCTTACTTTATTCTCATTAAAACGATATTCTCACAATACGAAGATAGCAGTGCTAACTTCTGATCCACCATCATGAACATCATCTTCATCAGCTATGAACTATCCACTGCTGGATCAAGGCCTCCCCATAATCTTAAGCATGAGCTACGATCTACCCACTGCTGATCCATAAATATCTAGAATAATCTCTTGTGGTCTCGTGATACATCGGCGTTATTTGGCTCACCGTAACAGAACCCTTTGTTGGGGTGCTTGCTATGAACAGATCCAGTGCCTACAATATTTCGAGGCTGAAAGGGGATACGCTTGAGTTGAAAACGCACTAAATTGAAACACATCTGTGATGTGTATACTAGTATAAACGCTGTGCTTATCTTGTGTACGATAATTAAATTGCCGTAGCTTTGCACAAAAAGAATATATAGCATTTACTATTTGCACTCATGAACCGTGTAATATCAAAGTGCTGCAACACTAATTTTGATATGAAAGCACATTTCAGCTCTTAACAATGTGCATATATATAAAAAACTGCGTGAAATGTAAATAATTTAACATGCAAATAAAACGTATTTCTATGCACATGCTGCAATTGGATAGACAATTCAGCATTCCGTAGTATAAAGGCATGCTAGCTGGAGAGGCAAATTAAGTACTATCCGACAGTACGCACTGAAAGTGCAATTTCCTTAATGCTTGAACTCCACGTATTGTGTACAAACATGGCAATAGATGGCTGAACACCTGCTGCAATATACCAACAACCACTTTACACACTCACTGCAGTTCCTCCATCTTAACAACACATCTGCATATCAATAAGCATTACGTCTACGTGACAATTATTCTTCCGTGACAAATGAGTGAAGCTGAAATCCGTTTTAACTCCTTATTGTGGTGGTATCTTGCCAACAAGCATAAACGCATAAAAGAACAGGACTGATATGTATATTCTTCCTCAGTTACCATTTCCATTAACCTGACAATGACTGTGCATTGCAAGGGAGACGTGGCACGGTGGTTAGAACACTGCACTGGGAAGTTCAGTATGTATGTTGAACTTCTTTCGCACCATACGTAGAGAACCTTGCGAACCGGAGATTCCAGTTGAAGGACAATAAACTAAACACAAAAATCCGTTCTAAAGAAGTGAGTTTTCAGTCTAGATTTAAAACTGCATAGCTCCAATGGCTTCTTAATGACGGAAGGAAGAGCGTTCCAGACGGCCGCAGAGGCGCATCTGCAGTGACCGCCTTTGTTCGATGGCCAGCAGCCACAAGCCGTCACAAGCAGCCACAAGCAGCCACAAGCAGCCACAAGCAGCCACAAGCAGCCACAAGCAGCCACAAGCAGCCACAAGCAGCCACAAGCCGTCACAAGCAGCCACAAGCAGCCACACGCAGCCACAAGCAGCCACACGCAGCCACAAGCCGCCACAAGCAGCCACAAGCCGCCACACGCAGCCACAAGCAGCCACAAGCAGCCACAAGCAGCCACAAGCAGCCACAAGCCGCCACAAGCAGCCACACGCAGCCACAAGCCGCCACAAGCAGCCACAAGCAGCCACAAGCAGCCACAAGCAGCCACACGCAGCCACAAGCAGCCACAAGCAGCCACAAGCAGCCACAAGCAGCCACAAGCCGCCACAAGCAGCCACACGCAGCCACAAGCCGCCACAAGCAGCCACAAGCAGCCACAAGCAGCCACAAGCCGCCACACGCAGCCACAAGCAGCCACAAGCAGCCACAAGCAGCCACAAGCCGCCACAAGCAGCCACAAGCAGCCACAAGCAGCCACAAGCCGCCACACGCAGCCACAAGCAGCCACACGCAGCCACAAGCAGCCACACGCAGCCACAAGCAGCCACACGCAGCCACAAGCAGCCACAAGCAGCCACACGCAGCCACAAGCAGCCACAAGCAGCCACAAGCAGCCACACGCAGCCACAAGCAGCCACAAGCAGCCACACGCAGCCACAAGCAGCCACAAGCAGCCACAAGCAGCCACAAGCAGCCACAAGCAGCCACACGCAGCCACAAGCAGCCACAAGCAGCCACAAGCAGCCACACGCAGCCACAAGCAGCCACAAGCAGCCACAAGCAGCCACACGCAGCCACAAGCAGCCACACGCAGCCACAAGCAGCCACAAGCAGCCACAAGCAGCCACACGCCGCCACAAGCAGCCACAAGCAGCCACAAGCAGCCACAAGCAGCCACACGCAGCCACAAGCAGCCACAAGCAGCCACACGCAGCCACAAGCAGCCACAAGCAGCCACAAGCAGCCACAAGCAGCCACAAGCAGCCACAAGCAGCCACACGCAGCCACAAGCAGCCACACGCAGCCACAAGCAGCCACAAGCAGCCACAAGCCGCCACACGCAGCCACAAGCAGCCACAAGCCGCCGCTGCTGCGAGGATGACCACCGGAGTTGGCGTGATGATGCTCTCTGCTCCTTGACGAGATTAGCGAGGTGGTATTGTGGTTCATGTTCGCCATGGCTAACATCATTGGCGAGTGATATCTGATCTGATTCTAGTTTACCAACCTGCACTAACCAACGTGGTGAAGTATAGTCAAACAAATACAAGTTACCGACATGGGGTGGGGGAGACCTTCATTCAGCAGCAGATTTGACAAAGGGTCGCTATTTTTATTATTAACAATTGTAATTAATTATCTTACCTTTTGCCATGACAAAGGCAAACAATGGTTTCTACTTTAACCAATTATATTACATTGCTATGATGGTCTTTTCTCAGCAGGGAGCATTTTATATTACCCCTTCAAAATAAATAATTTGTTCTCTGTAAGTAAATTATGTTTCTGGCTTACCGTTCAACTGCACGCTGGTAGTGAGCGTTCCATAATTAGTAGTGTCTTGAGATTGGACTGTACTTAGATGCAATTTAAATTCAATTTGTAATTATAGTTTAAGATGAGACGTAGGTCTTATTATACCTTTCAGTGAGCTTATCTGAGCCATTCACTTTTCCACGTCGATTTCATACGAACGATGAAGCGGACGAAACAATCTTGTTCAACCAAACCCGTTTTACAAACATGACTGTGTCATCACTCATTTTCTTAATCAGCGATTAAAAGGTTTTCCTTGAAATCACTATATTGAATGCGTTTTTTGGTAATTAACATCACATCTTCTTTGCTCAAATGTTTTAAATTGTGCGTTTCTTTGTAACGCTATCGTGGGGAATGTCTCACTGCTGACGCACGTGATCGCTCGCGACTCGTCAATGCTGACGTGCCGGAATGACCGTGATCGCTTCCGTGCTTGCTCCCAAATCTCTGCCGTTTAACCCTTGACCTTAAGCTCACGGCCAGGAAGGTCTCACGCCGGGTCACCTCAAGAAGGCCAAGCTCATGTTCTACTACTCGCGCTACCCCAGCTCCACCATGCTCAAGATCTACTTCCCCGATGTCAAGGTACCGCTTGATGTGTGCTCGCCCTCACACCGCTTTTTGCAGAGGTTCACTGTTCGGAATCCAGCAGGTGCCCTGATTACGAGGGTGGACATTAAAGTGTGAATGTATGCATATGTACTTTATCAATTTTACGTCTTTATTTTGAAGTAATTTGCTTACTTTTCCTTTCTATGTATGTTGAATTTCTATCACACCATATGTAGCCAACCGTGCTAATCAGAGGTGGGGCTAATCCGGTACTTTGCACTCCTATTGTGTGTTTGCACTGTATGTCGGTGAAAAAGAGCTTTATAGGTCATCGGATTTCTCCTGCAGTTTCAATAAAGATTCTGATTACGATTCTGCCAATGGAAATTGGTATCTGAATCTGGCCTGCACTTCCCTAGGTAAAGAGTGTTTGGTTTAGTGTCAAAGTAAGCGTTGGGGAGGCAATGGCATGTGGTGTAAAATCCCCTTGTAGACCAACATACTTACTTGTTGACGGGCCTTTGGCCAGATAATGGATACAGTCCTAAGATGTGATCTATATTGGTGTATTCATGGAATAGAATACAGTTTGTAGCTGGAATGTCTTCTCAAATGAAGAATGTAAACTAAATAAGATGGTATATATTGCCACACGACAAACGGTTTGGGCTCTTTAGTGCTGCTTACAACAAGGGTGTAAATCTTCACTTAAAGCTTTCGTGATTGCAGGAATTCACAAGAGTGTCGCTTCGAAAATTACTGTTTAAAAAAATATTCACGCGCAATTTCTTTCTGAAATATATATTTTTTTACACATACAACACTGTTGATACAGGACTGTGTACTTTTGTTTAAAATCTGATGTTTTACAATACACAAACCATAAAAAAAGTGTACAGAATACACTGTCAGTAAGTAATTAATATATCTCTATATTAATGAAAGACAATTTAAAACGATGACATTAAAGCAAACAGACAATAAAAAAGTGACCATCATACACTCGCTAGATGTAAAACAAAAAAATAACGAAATTTATAAATATGTTTTTCACAATTTATAGTTTCATTAAAGCCAGCAATGCAGTCATTTTAAACCCTGCAATCTCTGGATTTCCCTCATGAACTTCTCTCCCTTAAAGTTATAATCCTCTGCTAAGTATATCAAGCAGTGCTAATATATTAAGATATATTTTTCCATGACATTAGCCACTTTCATTTCGCTCAGTGAACTTTACCTGGTAAGTAAAATAATTTAGTGTTGTTTATATTTACACATTTTCTGCGTGTTAAAATAAACCCAAAGCATAATAAGGAAGGCAACGTGTCCGAGAGAACGTTAACTGAGGAGATGGAGTAATGAAATCAGTTTATGCGCGAGCCGGACGGTAGCATCGCCGATCCTGAGAGATTGCTTGGGGAGGCCGACATTCAGCAGTGGATGGAGCATGGTTGATGATGTTTATGCTTTTATCCATGGCATATAATTGGAAACATATTTCAAAATGCTATACCTACTAATGTTACATATGTAATGCTTAAAATGGTTAAACAGCATACATGTTTGACGAACATAATTATTTTTAAAATGTAAAAAAAAACCTTCAGTCAGGATCCATCACAAGGGTTTGTTTACAAGCACAGCATTTGATTTGATCGTGTTTGTATTTTCAATTTCCATTAGATTTTTCATTTTAATGAGCATGTGGGAACAAACTCGTGCGTTTCCTTAATGACCCCTTCATCTACAATTCCTAGCCACGGCAATATCCTGCCTACCCCCAACAGCACCAACATTGCCACACATACTCCTTTATTTTTCATGTATGTCAAAAAGCTATTAACCATTTCAACATTCATATTAAAGCCAACAAACATATCGGCTACATCACCAGGATAACAAAAACACAATTTCACTTCTCATTTTTATGTCATTAATAATACGGTATTTTACAAGTAAATATCTAATGCTCTAATTTCAATAGCTCTTTGTTGCGCCATTTACTTTTGCCTAGTAGGCCGCAGGCTTCAAGCCAATGAGTGGTAGGTAGGTCATAATTACAGCAGTTTCTTTGCACACTCATAGTATTGCCTGTTGTAGAGTTAAATGCTGCCAATATGCAAATACTGCCATTTCAAAAGGCGAAGTAAACATGTGAACTCCTAATGTATTCTTAAGTGATTTGATTACAACTGCCTCTATCTCTGCAGCAATTAAGGGGCCCCTTTTTGTTTTAGAACGGTAGCCCTTTGAAGAGCATGACAATTACCGCGCACGTTAACACATCGACGGTTAAGCCGGCAAAGAACGCTCCACGCACCAAAGTCCAGAGTGCCCCAAAAGCTGAAACCATACCCCCAGATACAAGTCGGTAGTCATTCACCAGATCCCATACCTGCTGCAATGGCCAAAGTTGGCCTATGTGCACTTACAGCTCTCCAATGCGGTTTTGGCATTGTACCGCATGTCGGATGTTTCGCTCCGCATTCTGGGAGCTTCCGAAACTGAATTGAAGCTGCCAGCGCGTGGAGCGAAACGTCGGACATTGTGCCGAACGACACCGCAGTTCAACCCGAAAACTTGTCAGAAAGCTGTACAGTACAGCACGACTGCAAAACCTACGTAGCAAATGCTGGGGAAATTAACGTTCACGAAAAACAAAGTTATACAACTTTCTGCTGAATGTTTTAAAATACACAATTGTAATAGTATCATAGAGGGCCTTAAATCGAAATAAGTTGCCTTGAATGTATAAAGTTAGAGCCCATTGACATAATAATTGTTGCATTGTATGGGAAGTAATAAGGACACAGAAAACAGAGATCAGTGAAAAACCGCAAACAATTATGCCAAACAAAATAAGAGAGCATCAAAATGAATAACCTTGGTAGGCGCGTGTGTAACTTTGCCAGACTCCCCTTCTCATGTTGCATTTTGGTATCTCCTGCACTCTTAAGTGTAGCTGTTCTATTTTATAGGTGGATTTTATTTCTACATTTCTTACATTTAATAATAATTACAAAATTTACACTCAAGCACCATTCACAAATTAAAGTCTCAAGGCACCACGAAATGAAGAGACGATAGATAAGAAAGAACCACATGGTGGAAAAAGAGCCAAAGGGGAACTCAAGTCATTAGGGAAAAGTTTTATTTTCAGACGTGAATTAACGATTCAGAAAACTATGCAAAAGCCCAATCTCCACAGGTTGGGGGGGGGGGGAGAGTTCCACAACTGGGGGGCCACAACAGTAAACGCCCATCACCCCAATAACGTAACCGAGATGGAGGTATACAGAACGTAATAGGGCACAATTGGCATGCAGGAAGTCGTGGGTTCTATCTCGACCCTGATGCCTGTTGTATATTTAGAGTGTGCGTGTCTCTCTCCCCGTGGTCGCGTAGATCTTTCTCCGAGTCCCCCGGTTTTTCCCTCCACATTTAGAATCAACATCACTCGTTTAGAGTATTTGGCCGTGATCAATTTCCATGTGATGATCAGCTACTTCGTTGACCTATCATTTATGATAGCAAGGTCGTTTCTGAAAAGGAACTATACAGATCCTTGGGCTTTACCTGGAAAAATAAAAAAGAGTTTAGTTTTATATTTTTGTTTTACTTAGGACTCTTTGTAAATTTTAGATGAATTAAATATCCACTGAACCAAACACTCTTTCAGAAGTTTCTTGTTTAGGTGCAATGGTAAGTTAAATTAATTAGTCTTTTCCAAAATCTGATTTATAAAAATGTATGTGGTCGATGTTTGAGAAACCCTTCCTATAATCTGCTTGCTCACAATTGGAGAAGCAAATGCATAAATATTAATGGCCAAAACTTCAAGCATCGCAGATTTGCAGATGACAGTCACCATGTATCATGAGAATGGTCTCCAGGATATGTGAAAAGAACTCGGGTTGAAGATATAAATTAGTAAAACTAAAGGCTTGTACAGCAAGGTCCCTTAACAACAAGATACAATTGTTGGAAGGTTGTTGGAAGGTCCAAGTGGAAAATACAACAGGCTTTCACGACCAATATCATCCATCATAGAGATTTTTTGGGTTAGATCACGTAAATATATAAAAGTGTCGTTAAAACCCACCACCACCCAAGACAGCCAACTAGTAAAGGTTGACATGTAAACAGAACATGACAATTCGTCACTAGTACAGCACGCCAGTGTGTTGGAGAGCCAAGCCACAACATTTACAAACTGAGTACGACGTTTCGCCAGTAATTACAACTAGCTTCATCAGGCGACAGCCAGATTTGTGGAGAAGTCTAACTCGCACACTCGCCGTGGAGGCCACTCACCGAACTTACATTATCATGCTAATTTTTACCTGGTAGCCCTTTAATTGGTAGAAAACCCACCACCGTTGCGGTCGCAGCCCACCACTTACATTAACATTCGCTGCCCCGCCCATGCTGCTGACATTTGGGCTACGCCCATTTCAAACCTCTATAGACAGTTTGCCTTTAGTAGCTAACCCCCTTTTCCTGCTGACGACCGCTTGTGTTGCGATCGAAACGTCGCAGTTTTTTGTTATTTTCTTTGAACCTAGCTTCGTGACTTAACCAAAAGACCCAAAGAATATGAATTCCTGCAGTCACGAAAGCTTTAAGTCAAGAGAGGTCTAACTGTTTATATATAGAGGCGTAGATGTGGTGACCACGCTTCTGCGCTCTTGGGGGGGGGGGGGGGATTACTGAGTCAATGTACATGATGCTTGTGCATTATGCGAGCCCTTTGATCTTGTCTTTCCTGTCTATTGTGTGTATTAAAATAGCCGTACCAACGGTAATCCCTATTGAAGTATGCTGCCCTTTATATGCATGCATTTTAATCATGTATTATTTGATGATTCGCTTTCATGCAGCACTAAGGCGGTAGCTATCCGAACGGTTAAAATTATTTTTCTTTCAATTTCGATAGATTCTCTAATTAGTCTTGGCCAGTAGTAGCTAGTTTTGCACAGAACTTCAACATTATCAAAATCACTTGAGTGTCCTTGTTGGCACGAGTGTTCTGC